AAAAAAAAAAACGAAAACAAAAAACAAACAAAAAAAAACGGTTAAACTATTCGTACCATTTAAAAAAAAAAATTGGATATTTGATGGCTGCAGTGAGCGGTATGGGCCCAGTTGGGTTCTACTTTATAGTATGCTCTTTTTACCCAATGGGGTTTAGGCCTAAAGTCAGACTTGAGTTCATGTAGAGGCATGTGTCAGCTGTGATAACTATTGGAGAGACTTAGACTAATTAAGATCACTGACAGATCATTTGGGGAGGGGTGAGGCACGGAGGGCAATCGGGGATGACAGGGACAATGTGGGAGGAGGATGGGTCATAACAGAGGGAGGGGGATGGGGAATCTAGGATGGTAAAACAAAAGGCAAGGTATGCAGGACACAAGAATTGGGAAATTATTTGCTGAGAACGTATATGTTGACGTGCTTGATTGAGCCAATGCACAGTGTATTTTGGACGGAAAATTCATTTGTGTGTTGTGATGGGGAAAAAAATTATAATAAGAAATAAACTATAAAAAAAAAGAGAAGAGGATAGAGAAAGATAGCAAGTGAACAATAGAGAGGCAGGATGTTAGTGAGAAACAGATATGATTTATTATCTGTTGATGATGACGTGTATAGTATTCTCAACTGGACTGGTCTGGGAAGTATTTCATGATGGGTGAAGTCTTTTAACAAGCAAAATGAGAAATAGTGATTGACTATTTTAAAAAATTATAATAATAATAATAATTATTGGGAAATGCATGGAAAAGACATTGAATGATAAAGCAGGGAGATTGATGTCTCTGTATTGACTGACATGCATGGCATTCCCTTTTGAAAAAGCAATGGAAGTCAATGTAAAGTTATATGTAATCCAATGTAATATAAAGAAGATTATGATGATAATAAAAATAAAAAAAACATGATAAATTTTACATATAGAGTTAAAGGTTGTTGTTTTCCTTAAATAACACTGGAACCATATGCTCCAGCAATGGTATCTGAGTAAACACCAAAAAGAACTGAAAGCAGGGAGAGGGTCAGCTCCTCTACTAGTTAAGGGTGTGGATTCCACATGGCCAATGGCATAGGTCAAATCCTGATCCCAGCAGCTTGGAAAACATGTTGGGCATATGTGCTCACATGCCCCAAATTCCACTGAAATGGAGAAGGGAATGCAGCATGATGACCCTCTGTGGGGAACTTTCTCTCTCTCCCTTTCTCTGTTCCTCTTTGGGAAGTGTGGACGCCCTCTGCCATGCTCTCCACCCACTCCCAGATGAAAGCATGGACTTAAACAGATTTGCACACTTGTGTTCCCATCGGTATTATTCCTAATAGCCAACATGTGGAAATAGTTCAGCTGTCCATTGATGAATGAATGGATAAACCAAAAGGAAGGTCATATGCAGGATTTTCAAAACGTCCATGGAGGGACAGTTGGTAGTGTAGTGGTTAAGGCAGCCAGATCTCACATGGCCAACTGTGCTAAGTCCTAGACCCAGCAGTTTGAAAAACATGCTGGGCATATGTCATTGCATGCCTAAAATCCCAAAAGGAGGGTGAAATGGAGGAGAAAGGATTGTGA